AGGGAGGGGGGTTGCAAGATGGAGGGGGATAGAGGGGAGAAAAAAATGGGACAATTCTAATAGCATAATCAATAAAATATACTTTAAAAAATCTTTTAAAAAATAGTATTAAATAGGTTAATATATGTAAAGTGCTCGGAACACCACCTGACAGGCAGCAGTCATTTAATAAACATTGGCTATTATGACTTATTTTCACCGAAGACAGTGACAGAGAATTATATTTACGGAATGCTAACATTGTCTCTCCATTTCAAAAGACACTACAGTTGACCCTTAAACACCAGGGTAGTGGTGCTGACCTCCCAGCACAGTCAAAAATTGTGTGTAACTTTTATTCCCCAAAACTTAACTACTAATAGCCTACCATTGACCAGAAGCCTTACTGATAACATAAATAGTTGATTAACATGTTTTGTATGTTATGTGTAGCATATACTATATTCTTAAAATGAAGTAACTAGAGAAAAGAAAATGTTATTAAGAAAAACATAAGGAATTGTGATCAGAGCATTCGCTTAGTTACTGCCATCTTGCTTCCGGGCATGTCCTCTGTTTGACCCAAATAAACTCTTATAAAACTTCTCTACAGCTTTGGATGTTCTTATGTCAACAGAAGAGAAAATACATTTACAGTATTTATTGAAAAAAAATCTGCATTTAAGTGGACTCCCACAGTTCAAACCAGTGTTGTTCAAGGGTCAACTGTACTTTAATACTATAGCACTTGATGTTAACATGAGATTTAAAACTCAGCAACATCTTTCTACATCATTGATCTTTGGAACTGGTGTAAAAGGATGATGATGAAGTTTTAACTCTGGAAAACCTCTAAGAGACACATAATCGGCTGAGAACAGTCATGACAGCGAACACTTTTGTTTTTCCCAAGGCTGGGCACTTTCGGGCCCTTCCTTGTCTAATCTTATATTCCACAAATTCCATCTGCTTGAGAATTCACAATCATTGCAATGGCAGAATCACAGGACTTCACAGAATCATAATCTAATATTGAAAGGGACTTGAGTGATCCATCGGTTAGTTCCCCCTCCTAATTTTAGCCACATTAAAGGTGTGGCACAGTAGAGGCAATGGTCATTACACGACGTGTCAATGGCCACAAAGTCTGTGTGAGATCTGACCTCGAACCAGCCCCCTTACCTCACGTCTGCAACCTCGGTCTGGGGCTGTTTTTCCTATACTCTGTTGTTGCACTTTTCACTTCCCCATGGCGCCTAGCACAGGATTATGTACACAATTGACATGTAATAAATATTCCTTAAGCAAATGAGAAAATAAATGAAACCAGCCTTAAATATTTCTTTCAAAAACAGTTTTGGGTTTTTTCAGATTTTTTTTTCTTTTAAATGAATGACCTTCTCATAGTTATCTTAATATATATCCTGGGGTACATCCAGAAGAAAAAATATCCCATCCTCGTTTCTGCTACAGTCCCTTTAAAAATCACCAACTTCCAATACCATTGTTAGAATTTATATCCTTTCCTGGCTCATTTTTTCCCCTTCTAAATCTACTTTAAGACTTTCATAGAACTATAGCAATGAAAGAAATTGTGAACTGTTCTTTTCGTTCATTCCTCAATCCGAACCTTGGCAGGGCAGGGTAGAAATCAGCCCTGCAGGGAATTTGCACAAACCTGTTGAAGAAAGAGAGGAGGCACAAGCTGGAGCTCCGAGTCTGCATCAGGCTTGCTTTTACCTGCCCGTCCCCTTTCCCCTTCTCCCTCCAAATCCCATTGCCTTCTCTGTGAAGCCCAGCACGAGTCCTCCCTTGCAGCCTAGAATTCTCTTCCCCCGCCTTAAACATTGTTGTAGCATTTTATTTGTGATTTTTATTACACACTATCAGTCACTTTCATATTGTTAATTGTATTTTGTTATCCAATCAACTTATAAATTAACGCAAATTTCAAATATTATAATCATGGTTATGGATGGGTATGAATAATGGATACAACTAAATGCCCCCTTGACAATTCCTCCAATTTTTGTCTCTTAATGGGTGTCTTGTTCTACACACCCCCTACTCATTTCTGTACACATTTTTACTTATAGAAATGCATAGTTTTATTTTGTTTTTAAAATGGTGCCACACAGTATGTATGGTTCTGCAATGTGCTTTTTTCATTAATACTATGTGTCATGGTGACCTTTCTGTCTCAGAAAGTATAGACAGACTTACTTATAGACATTGTTTTTAACTGTTGCCTAATTTTCCAGAAGACAGAAGTACCAGTTTACTCAGCCGTTCCCTACTGATGGCAATTAGATGTTTTCAATTCCAGAAGTACCAAAACTCCGCAATGAAAAGGAATTACATAAGCTGTGCACATGCATGCCTGCTTCTCGAGAATACATACCAAGAAATGGAATCGCTGGGTCACAGAATATGCACATTATTAATTTTCATAGAGCCAAACTGCCCTCCAAATTAGCTGCATCAAGTTACACACCTGGCAGCAGCACCTGAAAGTACTTGTTTCCCACTAGCTTGCCAATATTAATAACTTTTTACCTTCTTTTACCTGCCTACTTATTTTATCTCCTAGGCTTAAGGTTGAAAGCTCTCAAAGAACAGACCCATGACTACCTTATATTTGCGAATCTTGCCTCGTTCAGCGGTGTTTAAAAACTGGTGTTCAATAAATGCTTGAATGATCTCTAACCCTAAGTTCTTTGCTCATCTCTGTGTACTACACACTTTTCAGAAAGCATTTGCCAAGACTGCATCTAACTTTAAGGTTACTTCTTAAGAATGAAAAACATTCTTACGAAAGTTGAATTTTTGCACATTGCTCTCCCTGAACAAATTACAGACATCTTTCATTTGAAGTCGCCTAAGACAGAATTTTGTGGGCAGGAGGCAGTGAAAACAGACCTGGTTGTCTCAGACAATAGCTAGCAGGGTGTCCCACCCACTGGGAAAGGGCAGACTAAAGGCGCCTTAGAATTCCTGGCAACTAGGCAGAAGATAGAATGATGAGGGAGTAAGGTCAGAATCTTTGCAACATTCTGGATCCAAGGAAATAAATTCTTTTATAGCGTTTTGAAATAGAGGAAACCATTAATAATGTCTAAAGCGTGGCGATAAATGGTTTCAGGTGAGGAGGAACTGCATGCAACAGGGTAGGAAAAACTGAAGTGGAGATTCGGGTATACTTTTTAAAGGAAGTTTAGAGACAGGACAAGTTTTAAAGGTGTGAAATGCAGGCGTCAAGATTATTGTCCTCCAGGCAGTGCCTTTATATATATGATAATCTTGAACTAAAGTATTTTTAAGAGTCCATGAGTGTGGTTCCAAATCAGCACTCTGAACATTATTTGCAAATAAGCATTTTCCAGGGGTGGGGGGAATAAGAGGAAAATTTCTGTTACATATGAACAAATTGAGAATTAAGATAGCCTAGTTTCTGTTTAACAAAGGAACTGGTTCTAGATAAGAAACAATAAAGGAAAACACATTTCCATTCTTAAGGATGTTTCCTTTTCTTGCACCAACTGTGCAGCCCAGCGAGGGTACAATTGCATTTCGACAAGAACATAAATGAGAAAAGTGAGGAAACCATTTGCTATGGTGGATTAACTGCCCTCCAAAGGAATGGGCTCCTGAGGTTTGGAGGGGCTTAGACCTGGGCCCTGTTTTGAATTCCCCTGGGCTGGACGGAGGCTGGACAGACACTTCAGTTTACCAGGTCTGTTGGAACACCAGCATTGCCTTTACCATAGAGCCCGCGATGCATCGTTCTGCATGCACCCCCTCAAACACACGTGGATCTGCGCTTTGGTTTCTCAGCCCATTTCTTTTCGCCCTTTTTATTAGCTGTTACCAATAAACCCCAGCAGCGAACGGGCCTACATCAAGCCCGTGGGGGCCCATACCAGCGACTAAAAACTCCTGGAAGAGGCGCATTTGGCTCTTTGGGGGCTCACGGCCCTTTTGGCCATTGTTGTGTGGAACAAAGAGGGCAGGAGCGGAGGGCGCCCCCACGAGGAAAGGCGGGGAAAGACACCCAAGAGCGCGATTTCGGAGGCGGGCGAGGTTGTAACTAGGGCACTCCTGAGGAGCGGGCTGGGAGCCCGGGGAGGCAGGGCAGGTCCCCGCCCGCCGCGCCCCGCACGCGATTCGCAACGCGACTGGCGCTCGGCGCAGCCCTTTCCTGCGTCGCAGCCACTTTACTTTTAAATCCCCTTTCCTTATTATTATTATTTTTTCCCGCGCAAAGCCGGAACCTGGGGCCGCCCAAGCGAGCTGCACAGGGGCCGCCATTTCCCGGGGAAAGCTCGTCGCGCGTTGGCACCGGGCGCCCCGGAAAGGGAACCGGAGGGGAGTGCCCGGCCCCGCGCCCTCCTCTGTGCCGGCCCCGGCTTACGGGTGCCCGCGGCGCTCGGCTCCCCGCATCCTTGCCCCCGGGGCCCCGGTGCCTTCCCTCCGCCCGGCGCCTCCGCGCCCCTTCCATTGTCAGCCCGGAGCAGCCGGCGCCCAGCCCGGACACCCTGGAAGGCCCCCGAACGGCCCTGCCGGGCTCCCTCGGCCCCTGCGCAGCCCCCTGTCCCCGTACCGGTCCCCCTCGTCGGCTGGGCGCCTCCCTCGCCCCTCTTCGCCCCAAACTCCGCATCCCCAGGAGCTCTCCACTCTCTCCGGTTCCAGCCTCGCCCGGGGCCCACCGCTGGACCCCGCATCCCTTCTTCTCCCTCCCTCTTCGCCCAAGATGCCCCGGCTCCTCACCGGCCGCAGGAATTTTACCGCTTCTTTTGCAACCCCCTTTCATTTCCCGAGGAAGCAAGTTGGGCAGCTTGATTTATTAATTTTCTTTTTTTCTTTTTGCGGGGAGGGTAGACTATCCCGGGTGCACCCGCAGGGGCTGGGCGGCGGGGGAGGCAGGGGGGTTCTCTCTGGCCCCTGCACTGTTCCCGCGGCCGGTTTTGTTTCCAGACCCCGAAGACCCCCGAACAATAATGCCATAGCCATGGCGTGCTCACCTGGTGCTGCGCCGCTTGCTCCGGGCGCCCGGTGCCCTCTGCGCGCCGCTGCTCGCGCGCAGGTTCGGCCCGTGCGGCGCCGGTGCCGGGCAGGACTCTTTGCCTTTCTTTAGGTTCTATCTGTGCGTGTCAATGGCGGCAAGCAGCAGTTCTCAGGGCCGCGGATAGTAGCGGGGGGGAGGAGGAGGAGGGAGAAGGGATTGCTCCTTCTCCACATAACCACCTCTAGGAGGAGTTGCTCAGCCTCATCCCCCGCCAGCCCAGGCTCCGCGACGGGTCCAGGGCTTTCGGTGGGGCTTGATGAGCTATTGTCCTTCAGGAGCATTAATGATGAAACCGCGCGGCCTCCGCGTCGCTGGCGGATCTGCTGGATGCACTGAGGGCCACTTGCTAGGATCAGGCTTTCCCCAGAGGTGGGGACAGAGGCGCTACGGTCGTGATCCAGAGTCTGCAGAATCCACCTTTGGTGGAAGTAGGCGTGGGCGATCATCGGGCAGTTCTGGGGAAAGCCTTAGAAGGTGAAAGCGAAAAATGTCACCTTCGATGGTCTCGTGTCCTTAAATAAAAACAACACATTAACGTTTGTGTCCATCACTGGGACTATAGCATAGGGTGGCCACAGCCACAAGAACTGAGAATTTATATCCATGCCTGTGGGCTTTTTATAAATTAAGACCGATTTAGAATCTAGTGTTGCGTAATATCGGGAGTTGCAGATGTATGTTTTGGTGATTAAGACTGTGCACGGACATAATTCTTAATTAAGTTGCTTTACATATGTTAAGTTGTAATAGCTCTTAAGACTAACACGAAGCTATTGTCTTAAGGACCAATTTTTATTAGTTTCTAGAAAATATATTTTTTATGGTAGTGTAGTGGACAATATCAGATATGATAACGGGATTAGTAGTTGCTCTATTCCTCCTGGAAGCCACCACTGTCCTTTGTAACCCGAGATGTTGGCCAGGGTGAGATGGCTGGGGGTTGGGGGGAGGAGGTGTTTGGTGGTGAGTCAAAGGAATTTGTTTAATTTCAGTGGGAAATGCTCATTTGCTCTGGGTCATCCAACGCTTCCTTTGATTTCTCCCTGATGACTCAAAAGATTGTGAAAGGCAAAATTTTGATCTTTCTGCAAAAGAGAAACCCACAATTCTCCGGCATTGGCCAAATGGGTGCCTTTCAAAGCTTCACCCATTGGCAACATTGTGTATATTTGCCCCTATAAATTTATAAATGTTTAGGCAATGGGGAACCTTGGGGTGACTGAGAGCCTCCAATTGTGTGGGTAGGAAGAACCCAAATGCTCCACTGCCTTCTGGATTTATATTAATCAGGGCTGTTGATGTATTTAGTAGGTGGAGCTTTTGACCATGTACATTTTAAAGAAGTGTTTGGGAAGTCAGTTGACTTCCCAAAAGATCGTGGATGTATCATAAAGAATAAATAAACCTCTCTATTTAAATACCATGTCTTCTCAAACTCTCCTGGGCTCAATGGTCTCAAGTTTATCGGGGCTTCCTTTACTCTCCCTACTCTCTTTACCCTTTGTCTACGTGACCTCACTGTTCTTTGTCTTTGAAGGTACTCTCCATGTCAGAAATCTAGTCAGGATAAAGTTCTCTTTTCCCAAGACATTTATTTAAAGGGTTTCAAATGATCCCTTGGGTCATCTCATAATGGTTTCAATTTCCTCTTCCTATAGGAAGCGCCCATCTCCTGTCTTACAGAGATTTCTGGTGTCTGTTCTTTGTCACGAATAGCCTCCAGGCCAACATTCAAGAGGGCTCAGGAGCCTTCTGGGAGTGCTTGAAAAATATTCTTACCCTGTGACCCAGTCATCCAGGCTGACTGAGATATACTTTAATAATTGGTTAAAATATATTAGATTCACATTCTCCCTATAACTTCCCAATAAAAATGGTAGGTGTGGTCCTTTTTATGTGCATTTTGTGTATCTTGTTTCATCCTAGCATTTTGTTATGTGCTGTTCCCCAAAACTTGTCCAGGGTCTCCCATCTGCTACAGGTTGGTTTCTTCAGATAGATGATATGATCACAACTCAGAGAATCAAGGGAAATGTCAGCTTCATGATAATCTTGTTCTTAGAATAAGAAATCTGGTCTTTAGCTAGGTGAAGAGACTCACCCAAGGCACACGTAATTAGTGGCAAGACTCCAGTGCATTTCCATATACCCAGCCCAACTCTAAAGTCCTCAGGATGTAAGAGGACAAATATGCAAGCTAATATGCAGATGTAGTTAAATTATAGTTATTTAATATTGACATTTAACACACGAGCATGAATTCAATGCAGATAATATTTTGTAGTTAAAATACATCAAAAATAGTCAACATGGCTATCAACTCATTAGTAATCTTGACTTCTGCAGTGGCCTCCAGCGCAGGGAACCTTAGACAAGTTGAATAGCAGTGACAATAAGAATTTATACTTAGGGAATACTTACTATGTGCACTGAGCTTTCCCCTTACTAACTCACTTAATCCTTACCACAACTTCATGGGGTGGGCACTTTTTTCTTCCTGTTAACAGATGGAGAAACAGGCAGAGAATGGATGAGAAACTTGTCCACAGTTACAAAGTTCAGAAGTTTGTAACGGGACATCTGTGCTGGGAGAAAGTTAAGAGCAGGTTCATGCTCTTAATCCCTGCCTTAGTCTGTTGGTATGAATGTGTTTATTCTATTTAAACAAAGGAATTTTGTGATTAGTCACATTATTGAAAGTCCCTTGACCCATTCCCAATACATATTCTCAAGGACTCAGTGAGAAGCCTAATTACAGGAGGTTTGCTTGATTACCGTTGCACTGAAAATATTTTCTTAACCTTTGACCTGTATGTGTGCATATTATGAATAAATGTATTGATTGTGTGTGACTCCATTAGTGACAAGGATGTCTAGTAAACATTTTATTGAGATGCAGGATGAACTACTGCTTCACTTAAGAGAGCAGCATGTAGCATGATTCAGACATGAAGAAAATGAATCAACCATGCAACTAGATTCATATTCTTTTAAGTCTACTAGTAATTCATCCACAAGATCTATTTTAAAAATAGCTTCATGACTTTGTCCCCCACAACCTTTTTACTTTTTCACGATCCAAATGTATGATGTGTGAATTGAGAGGGTTTTTATTTCCCATGATTTGCTCTAATGTAGTTTATGACACCTATTATAATTTGTGATCATTTTACCCTTCTGAAATCTTGGTATGCGATTACCCTACTAATTTCCTGACCTGTGCCTGTTCCAGGAGGACTGTGTCATGTGGGTATATATTTATATCTGACATATGTGTATAAGATTTACATATCCAGATTAATTTTATTTGAGATTTCTGATCTTCTTTGAAGTAACCTGAGATTCCCTGGGAGTATTATAAAAGCAGATGGAAATCATTCATTGGTTTAGGCTCTTCTTTGAATGTAAGTCAGGCAATTCTTAGATGCTGTATTACTTCCATCAAGGTACCAACTCTAAATAGCAAGTTGGGGCCTTAAGGTTATGAATGCAGACAAAGCACCAAGCTAAATGGTACCCCTTTATTCTATGAAATAAATAGAGCTTCTAAACGTACCTTATAGCCTGGAAAATACTAGGCAATCTGACTTTAAAATTTTTTTATTAACTAGAAATATGCAAAGTCTTTTCTGTTGTTATATTTTAAATAGTGAACATGATTAATGTTGAACATTTATTTCCTGGATCAGAATTGGTGGCTTTAGGGTCTTAATCATTTGGGGAAAGGAATAATGTTCTTAAATAAAGGACATGTAAGCAATTGTTATGCCAACAAAGCCCATTCCTAGTATCTCTTGCTAAAATGAACACCTTCCTCTCTGACAAAAGAAACACTTTACTAGTCCTGGTTCTTAAAATCACCTAAGTATGTCCCTTTGGATACTAGGTCCTGACTGTTTGGTTCTGGAAAAGGGGATTTACATGAGTGGGTATGTGGGTGTGTAGATGCATGTCTATGTGCATATTAATATTTATATATGAACAAACACTTGACGTGTGCGTTACACGTGTGCGTTGTAAGATCGGTGGTGACCCTGACTGTAGTAGGTTCAGAGTTAAGGCTGATTTGGATTTTAAAGGAATCTACCAAATGTTTAATGTTTAACCAATAAACTATTTTGTAAAGGAAAATGAAATGTTTCAGGTTTTTAAGAGAAGCATATTGTTGACCCCAATTATACAAAGTTGTGGTTAGGAAAATAAGGCACATGGTGTCATTAAATTTAATGGAAGCAGAACCTGGAGCTAAGGGGAGTGTGTCAGTCGGTGCCTCGGTGGGCTCGGTGCTGGAGCCCGAGCTCTCGGAGATCCCCCTGTTACCTCTAGGCAGGGCTCTTTGCAACAATCGTGGTGGGAGGAGGCAGCATGCATCTGGAGAGTTTGGACCTTACCATCTGTGCTGGGAGATCTGTGCACTGTAGCCTCACACCTAAACAAAATTGCTCTTTACAATTTAGATCAATTCTAGAGAATGGGGGCATTGATTTTCCAAATCTACAAAAGCAGAATACCATAGTAAAACTGTAATTTATTTATACAAATGGTGTGTTTTTACAAAGGCCATCTGTCAGTTGACTCTCTGATCTAAAACAAATCTGTTTGTTCCCCAGAAGAAATAACATATCTGTTGAAAAAGGATTTATGGACGACAGGCTGCCCAATCCACCAGCCATTGGTATAATAGTAACTATTTATGATATATTTACTTCTAAGGGAGTGCTGTGAATGGAAACTATTACTTATAAAGTATGGTAATTAATTTTTCATTACCTCAAAGCCAAGAAATAGACCCCAGTTGCATTTATCAAGATAGCTGCACAAGAAACATGCTTCTTCTGGAAAAAAATAATACCCAAATAAAAACATTCAGAGAACTTTGGCCACATGATAGCTCAGTGCTCTGATGGGCAGGGATAGGAGTGTGAGCTTGAACTCAAGCCCTGAATTCACTTTTGGAAGGCAAGAGGACAAATCACTATTGAATGGCCCTAGCCACTTGATCTCCAGGCATCATTGATGGCTCTTATTAA